CAAACGGTCCTTCTTCCTCATCAAGATCGGGCAATGACCTCTCTTCCAAGTCTCGTATGGCCATCTCCTCGACAAAAGGATCAATCATATCAACGAACGAACACTCTTCCACAAGGTTCGCCGAAGGGCTAGATGTGGCCTCTCGGACAGAGATAGAGACGGACTCCCCTAGGACCGTCATGTTCAAGGTCCCGTTCTTGACATCAATGAGGGTGTTTGTGGTGGCCATAAATGGCCTGCCGAGAAGGATAGTGTGGTTCTTCCCGTTCTCGTGAACGTCCCCCACATCTAGAACCACGAAGTCCACCGGGACTATGAGCTTCCCGACACGAACTAGGATATCTTCCACCACTCCTTTGGGGTATCGAATGGAACGGTCAGCAAGTTGTAGGCACATACGGGTTGGTCTCAAATCTCCTAGACCGAGCCGCTGGAAGATGAAAAATGGCATAAGATTGATTCCCGCTCCGAGGTCAAGCATTCCCGAGGCTTCTTTGCCATTCCCAAGAGCAATTTTTATCACGAATCCTCCGGGGTCTCGTTCTTTCTTGGTAAGGTCATGCTGCATGGCACTCGCCGCCTCATAGACAATCACCTTCTCCCCGTCTCCGAACTTCCTCTTCTTTGTGACCAAATCTTTAAAAAACTTGACGTACGATGGCATACTCTTGATCACGTCTAGGAGAGGCAAGTTGACATTGACCTTCGAGAGCATATTGTATAGGTCCTGAAATTGCTGTTCCTGCTTCTCATCTCGAAGTCTACTCGGAAAAGGGATGCGTGGCTTGTAAGGGTTTGGTGATTTATGAAGCAAGGGACTCTTTGTTGGTTCTCCCGAGTCGGTTTTTGTGGTCTTTGTACTCTCCTCGGTTTCTTTGGGCTGGTCGGTTGTTCTTGGGACATCGGGCTCAGGCATTTTCACTTTGTTGTCCACTTCCTTACCGCTCCTCAACACAGTTATTGCTTTGGCTTGCTCGGGCTGGCTCGAAAGTTTCCCTTTGTCGAACTCAGCCTCCATGTTCCCGACTCTCGTGGCAAGTTGGCCCACTTGCGTCTCAAGACGCTTAATAGACGAGTCCTGGTTGGTGATGAAATGAAGGATCTTGTCCAGCTTGTCATCTTGGTTTGACGAGCTTGAACCGGACCCTTGGGCTGACTGTTGAGGTTGCTGATGTTGTTGGTAGTTTGGACGAGGGATGAAATTGGGACGGGATTGCTGCTGCATGAGGTTGGGGCGAGGCTGTTGTTGGTTTGAAGCTTGGGCGAGGTGGTTGGAGAGTGTTGTTGTTGTTAGACCACGAGAAGTGTGGGTGGTTTCTCCACCCTGGATTGTAAGTGTTGGAGAAGGGGTCGTTGGGCTGCCGGTTCTGATAACCTTGGAGGGCGTTGACATCTGCATATTGTTCTCCCACCTCCTGGTCGAAAGCTGATGGGCACACTCTGACCGGTGCCCTTGGGCTCCACACGCCCCGCATGTATCCACTGTCATGGTCTGGACTGGCTGCATTGTTCGAGCATTCATTAGCCTCATTTGCTCCGTTAGGTCGGCTATCTGATGGGCCATCATGTCTCGTCCCGAAGATACTTCATTGACCACCGCTCTCTTTCCTCGACTGCTCTTCTGAGACGAGCTAGAACTTAACGCCTCAAAAATATCCATCATCTCCTCCGCTGTTCTCGCCCCAATGTCTCCACCAGCTGCATTGTCCACCATGTACTGAAGGTTCTGGTGGAGAGAATCATAGAAGCCATTCATCAAAAGGACCGGAGGGAGATTGTGGTGTGGGCACTGCCTCTGTAGGTCTTTAAAACGTTCCCACGCTTCATGAAGGGGCTCGTGCGGTTGTTGGGCAAAAGAGACAATTTGGGACCGCAGCTCTTGAGTCTTTTGGTGGGAGTAATACCTCCCGATGAGCTTCGTGTACACTTGCTCCCAAGTGGTAAGAGAGTCTGGAGCAAGTGTCATCAGCCACGCCTTAGCTCTATCCTTTAGTGTCTCCGGAAAGCACCTCATTTTCAGTTGGTCCTCATTCAATCCGTGGAGTGGAAACGTTTGGAGAACATTGTAGAACTCTCGCATGAAATGAAGTGGGTCCTCATTGGGAAGACCATGGAAGGACGAGAGCTGGTTGTAGTGGATGGTTTTGAGCTCGTAGTTCCGAGCTGCTGTCCCCAGTCGGATGCATGAAGTCACTGGCCCAATTACTGGTTGAGCCAAATCGCGAAGAAGAGACTTAGGAGGATTGTTGACCTCCTCATCTTGCTCATTCTGTGCCATGTCGGTTTGTTCTTCGGATGTAGATGATACTGGTGCGAGACTATCTAGTAAGTCTCGTAGGTCCTGTTGGATGGATTCGTTGTCTGGAATGATTACACGACCACTCCTGGTACGCATAAACACAAACAACAAAAGCGTCACGGGCACCAGATAGATACAAAATGAATGAGTTAGAAATCAAACAAAGAGAACAGTAAAACTAGACAAAGAAAACAAAGCAAAAGAAACACAAAAAACAAGAAATCACAGAAAATAAGAGAAACACTGAAAATAAAGGGAATAGGCGCACAAAATAAGTCCTAAACCTTCCCCGGCAACGGCGCCAATTTGTTGTAAATATTTTTAACCGGGGTAGAACCCAAAGATTCGACACCGGGTCGTGTCACAAGGAAGGTTAGCCAGATTATTTTGCACGGTTATTCAATACACGAAAATAAGAAACAAGTCCTAAACATTCTAATTCAAATTTGGGGTTTTTGATTATCAACTACGAATAATAAGAACAAGCTAAC